TATATATATATATATATAATGTGAGGGAAATCCATGGGGCTTCAACAGTCCACGGGGTATTGCGGGCGGGGTTCTCACTCTCCTCTTCAGCCACGCCACACTACACACTCCTCTTCGCTCGAGTCCACTCTGCAAACTCGCATGCGTTCAGGAAATCCAAAGGAAGGGCTTGAGGATAGGATAGAGGAGTCTATGCACAAAACAGATCAATGCCAGAAAAACAGGAGGGATCACGAGATTAGGTTGAGCTGAGGTTACCCTGAAATGTGTAGTACAACGTTCCAGCGATAAGAAGAACTGAGCCTCTGCCTTAAATCGCGTCTGGGAGTGGCAGGATGATGAGCCGCAGGTGAGTAACCGTTTTCAGATGTGCTGGCCAATGAGCTAGGTCCAGGCAAGGAGGAGAGAGAGAGAGAGAGAGAGCAAGAGTAGGAGAAAACAGTAACAAATATCTGTAGCCTCACTGAGCCAGCCGGTTAAACACAGGGAACGTGACAGTTTAAGCACTTTGAGTTTTGCAGGATTCGTTGTTGCACAGCTCAGCATTTCAGTCAGGTTGAGGTGCTAGCTGTTACACTCACTGTGACTCAAGTAAAGCACAAGTTTAAACATGAGTGTTGATATGAATCAATGAATCAAAATCAAATGAGTCGAAACAAAACAAAAGATTAAAAAAAAAGAGAAAAAAATACTGTGGGTTACATTTATCAACATTTATCATGCTGAATCTCGAAAATAAGAGCTTGTTCTGTCACAGCATGCGGGAATCAAAAAAATCTGAAATTACACAACAAAAATGCCTTCTCAATTTGTTTTTTTGCCATGTTTGACCACACATACATTTGCAGAACATATTCACAGTTTCTCAAAGGAAGTCATTATCACTTCATTTAATTTGAGAAATGAATTTTTCCATCAGCTCCCCTCTGGGCAGAGAGTCAGTAACTTTCAAAAGCAAGAACATAGTTTTTCTTTTTCTCCTTCCACTTTTTGCCCTTCGGCTTTTAACCTAGTCGCTCACAAACATCCATCCTCACCCCACAACAGGGGAACATAGAAGAGCTTTTTTTGACATCACCCTCAACCCTACCACCCCCACGCCCCCCTCCTCATCCCCCAACTCTCCACCATCTGTTTTGTACTGGATAACAGGGGACCTGACTAACCACCTGAATAAATGTATTTCAGTGTGGGTGGAAGTCTCACATACACACACAGCTACAATCTAGTGGAGGGTTTGGGTGACACCGTTTCTCAAATTGCTTCCTAGTTTCCATGATACAAACTAAGAAGCCATCTCTGGGATTATATTTATATTTATGAGTCACCATTATTTTGCGTCACAAGCAACAGATGTAATTTTACATGTCACTCATCCAAGGCCCTGGGAGGACTGTACCATTGTAAGAAAGTCATGAACATGCTTGGTACATGACATTTTTCTGTTTCATCAAAAAACATTTTTAGAGTGCCACACTGAATGTAAAGGTGCAATTCAGACACTCAGACTTAATGACACAATGTGATTGTGATGCAGCGCACCAAATGGTTTGATTATGGGCAGCCAATCAGCACACCCTGTAGAGTTCTAGTCTCCAGACTTGTGTGTGTGTGTGTGTGTGTGTGTGTGTGTGTGTGTGTGTGTCTGTGCGTGTCCTGTCATATCAGAAACTTGACAGAAGGTGTGTTTAGTAATTCTTTGCTCCAGTGGTCCTTGTATCCTTGAATTATATCAGTTCCTGTTGGCTGCTGTAGCACCTCACTGCCCTCTTTTATTCTGTGGTGATGCCATGTCAGACGTGACATTTCCTCTCTGTTCCTCATGTCAACTTAGCAACACCTGTAACTGACATCAAAATCATATACTTGTTGCATACAGTTTGAAATGTACATGCATATGTATCACCTGAGTTCATATGTGGAATAGCTTCATAAGTGATGACTGATGCACATACATTATAGAGAGGCCTATTAAAGCCACACTGGCTGAGGGACCATTCGGCAGCTTCTTGGGAACCTGTCTTTGTTTATATAAAACTCTCTTTTGGGACAGAGGTAATCATTTCAAATGCTTTCTCTATTAATTTTACAATAAGTTTGCTGTTAGCCCAATTTACCTATGTTGATTTGTTTATTGTTTGTTCTTGGCTAATGCTAACTGGATTATCAGATGTCATTTGTCACTTACAATAATGATCCTGGACGAATATTATTATGATGATGTGGGAAGAACACCGACACTGGGATATCAAATGTTATGGTTGTGGTCAGGGAAGAAACATGTACAGTCACCAACAGGCCTCTTGTCCTTTGTTAGCAAAGGGTTATATATTTCTTTCCTTTGACATACTAAGCATAAATTGCTGGCAATGTACTATTGTATAGAATTCCCCAAGACCTGGCTCTCCCAAACATGGACAGTATATTAAACAAGGACATAACCTTTGTGACATCCATTAGTTAGTGAATCCAGTTGTGAAGCTTAAAACTGAGTACTTCGCTGCTATCTTGGCATTTTGAAACCGGACATGATGAAAAATGGATCTGACTGAGAAAGCGAGGGACACTGCACATACATTGTCAAACTTGTGATTAATAAATCATTAGCTTATGAGCAAACCCTGATTTATCCTCTTCAAGACTCCCATAAGATCATCAAGGAAATGTTTGCAGAGGTCACAGAGCATGGAGCCCGAGGGTTGTTTTCACTTCTATACACCTGAAGCTCTTCGGTAGCAGATGCGTTAAATGGTATCCAGATTTAAGACACTTCCACATTGCCTTCGCTTTTTAGACCCAGAAACTAAATCAACTCTTATATAAGGTCTATTATACTAACCTGTAAAGACCTGTTGACAAAAGAATGCAGGAAATTAACAGAAATGTTGTTAACCACGATAGATCGATAGCTATTGCTTTGTTTTGTTGGTAACACTCTTTATCTGATGCCATATCAATGCAGCATTAAATATCTTATGCTTCCAATTACTCTACACTGCATGTGAATTGTTTGTGAAATAAATCACAACTTGTTTTTCTAGCAAAATCCAGTGATGGCAAAAAAGGCCACCAGTGATAGCGTGGGTCTAGATGTTTGTATCTGATACCACTCTGGTATCAGGGTACCTCAAAGACAGCACAGATACAGAAATTGTTACAGGCTGATGCAATGTTAAATCACAAATAAATATTCTAACGTGAGAGCATTTTTTCCAGTGGTATGAAATGTATACATCTTGTATTCATTTCAATTCAATTTTATTTATACAGTGCCAAATCACCTCAAGGCGCTTTGTATTGTAAGGTAGACCCTACAATAGTACATAGAGAGAACCCCAACAATCATATGACCACTATCAGCAAGCACTTTGGTAACAGTGAGAAGGAAAAACTCCCTTTTAACAGGAAGAAACCTCCAGCAGAACCAGGTTCAGCGACCGGTTGGTGTAAGAAAAGGAAGACAGGATAAAAGACGTGCTGTGGAAGAGAGCCAGAGATTAATATTATAATATATTTATCTCTAATCTTGTATGTAGACAGTATAACCTATTTTCTATGTTTATTCAACCAGTAAGTGACTAATCACAGTGTTAAATCTGCTTCACCACAAAATCATTACACTGTATCACTGACACGATCTCACAACCAGCAGACAAAGAAATGTTAGAACTCAAAAACTGTATATAAACCAGGGGACTCCAACTCCAGGCCTTGAGGGCGGGTGTCCTGCAGGTTTTAGATCTCACCCTGGGTCTACACACCTGAATCAAATGATTAGTTCATTACCAGGCCTCTGGAGAACTGCAAGACATGTTGAGGAGGTAATTTAGCCATTTGAATTAGCTGTGTTGGATAAAGGACACATCTAAAAACTGCAGGACATCTGCCCTCGAGGCCTGGAGTTGGGGACCCCTGATATAAACGATGGATGTAACCATTATAAAATCACTTATTCATATTGGGGCTGCTTTGTTTAAAGTAATTTCTCATTTAAACCAACAGGAGGATATTTTAAGGAGAAATTAAAGGAGTTATGATGCTATATCAGCTAACAGTTTTGCACTTTCTACATGTTGATAATGCAGGCTGTCTTTCTAGCCTAAGCTGTTTTACAAAGCTTGGTTTAAAAAGCACCTCGGAAATATGTAAAACAAATTATGCAAGGAGCAGTGAAAAGTACAATTTCAACAATATACTATACACACAAACAAGAAGGTGCAAAACTACACTTTAAACATAAATATGCCGTTAGCTGTATCCTCTGGTATGCTGACTTGCTAGCTCGTTCTTAATTTTTGTCACTGGCTGGGCATGTAAATACCAATAGAACTGATGTCTGTGAAAATAAAGCTACAAAGCAAAATTTTTCTTATTTTCTGGCTGCCGTCTGTAATTAAGCTGATATTTTGTGCCTCTGTCTGTGTGTGTTCAATAGGAGGGAGACTCTCTTGGGGCGATGGAAAAGGTTTGTCGTCAGCTGACCTACCATCTCAGCCCCCACTCTCGATGGAGGAGACAGGGCCTGCTCAAGAGGAAACCTCAGGCCTGGTGAGTGTGTGTCGTACAGCATGTATCTCTGTTTTTGTTAACATCCTAGTGTGTCACCAGTGTGTCATCATCTGCTGCCCCTTTGGATGCCAAAGAAAAGCTCTGTGATGTCTGTGTCTCTTTATTTTTTCACTCTCTCACAAACACAGTTGGAGATGAAATCTTTCCTCTCTGTGTCACCTTCACTGACTCACTTTAGCCTGTCGGCTTCCCTGTGGCTGTCAGAAGACCATTGTTTTTATTCATACATAATTCCTGAGCTGTGTTTTTGTGTATTGTTTTTCTGACTTTCCGTCCCAGTTAAAATTGGAAATATTGCTTTACGAGTCTGTATGTCTAGTGATTTATTTGATTCCCTTTGCATTTCAGCACTTAGCTTTCTCACCACTCTTCTTCATTGCACCTGCATCATGTGGAAAGTCTGTATTTACACTGCAGTGTTACACAATATGCAAATCAGTTATCAGCACCAAGTATAAACTACTAATCCATATGCTTCTTCGGCTCAGCTCCAGTACAGCCATTAAAGATTAAATTCTCTAAAGCAATTCTCGAAATGAAATTTCCAATATAAGCTGGGTCCTGCATTACCACAGCAGTTTCTCAGTAAATGTGCTATATATGAAACACTCAAGGTAATTCATGTACTGTGTACAAAGCATATATATACTTCTCTGCTCTCTGGTGCACAACATGTAGTGATACTTGATCTGCAAAGTGCAGTTAAACATCAGCAAAAATGCGTCAAAGAAGGAAATTAAAGGCTAAATCCTTTTGTGGACTGTTTTAATAAATCAAAGCCTGTTTACAGGTGTTTAGGGTGCACTGCTGCATATGTCGAAAAATGGTTATTTGAATCCTCTGGTTTTGAAGGGTAAAGGGAGTATCTAGAACTTTCTTAAATGTCTGGTGAGTCTCACTTGGTTTATATAGGAGTCCAAGTCAAAGGCTTGAATCTTCTGAATCTAAACCTTATGGATATAAGAGCTGTAAGGAATACTCCAACAACTCTTTCCTTTGAACCTCTGGCTGTGTCGCGACGTGTCACTATTTTATTGTTGAATCGTCAACTCAGTTAATATTTTTTTTACTTGAATTGTCCCTTCTCAGCTCCTCTCTACACTCCACTTTAATAAATACAATCTCTGTAAATTTTATAGAGCCTGCCAATATTCATTTAACACAGAACTGTGTTAAATGACTGTCGGCAGCTGACGTATCTGATATCCCTGCAGCATCATAATGTGCTTTTTCAGGATCAACATTGTTGTGATGTCATAGCTTTGCAGGAATGTAGGAATATAAAAATTTCTTCTGGAAGAAATAATCGGCATTTCAAGTGTTTTCTTTATTCATTTATACATCATAATAAATATTTTTATCAACTTAGGTTTGCTGTTAGCCAAATTTAGGTTACTCATGTTGGTTTTCTAGTAGTAATTTTTTTAAAGTATTAGCTAATCTAGAACCTAGAACCTTGAACCTTGAACTTCTTGGCTAATGTTAACTGTTAACATCACATTGGTCAGTTGCAATCTTGATCCTCGACCAAAGTTATGATGATGTTGGACCAACACTGGGATATCAGGTCATGTGTCATCAGGCCTGACCACGACCATAAGAGGACAGAGAGAGACAGCAGAGGTTACAATTAAACAATGAAAAGCATACATTAAAAAAGTACGGAGCCCCCCAGGGGACATGGGAGAAAAAAAAATTAGGGAGGAAAAAAAAAAAAATTAGGGAGGAAAAAAAAAAAATTAGGGAGGAAAAAAAAAAAATTAGGGAGGAAAAAAAAAATAAGACTGACTTTTGCGAGATCTCGCAAAAGTATTGCGAGCGCTCGCAAAAGTATTGCGAGATCTCGCAAAAGTATTGCGAGCGCTCGCAAAAGTATTGCGAGATCTCGCAAAAGTATTGCGAGCGCTCGCAAAAGTATTGCGAGATCTCGCAAAAGTTTTAGCCGCATTCTTCGGAGGCCGCCAGCTCGAAGCCGACCGGGAGGTCGAGGCACGATGTGCCGGGAAAGCGGTGTTCCTCCCGGCTGTAGTAGGTCTCGACTTCCCGTTAGCTTCGAGCTAGTGGCCGCCAGCTCGAAGCCGACCGGGAGGTCGAGGCACGATGTGCCGGGAAAGCGGTGTTCCTCCCGGCTGTAGTAGGTCTCGACCTCCCGTTAGCTTCGAGCTAGTGGGTGTCAGATCTCCAAAAACGTCGGAGCTCTTTTGCAAATATGTGATGTCTTGTAAACCGAGCAGGTATCTGACGTTTACACAACTACATTCACGCCTCAAAATATCTTAAAAGTGTATTTTGTGACCCAGAAAGAGTAATATTACAACTAAGTAGCTGCCGCCATTGTTGGAGTTTTGCGAGATCTCGCAATACTTTTGCGACGCTCGATCTATGCGGCTCGCAATACTTTTGCGAGATCTCGCAATACTTTTGCGAGATCTCGCAATACTTTTGCGAGCGCTCGCAATACTTTTGCGAGATCTCGCAAAAGTCCGTCTTAATTTTTTTTTTCCTCCCTAATTTTTTTTTTTTCCTCCCCAATTTTTTTTTCTCCCATGTCCCCTGGGGGGCTCCGTAAAAAAGAGAGCTGAGCTTGATAACTGCAGATTTAACTAAGAAGTGCATGTAACCAAGTGTATGACCACATCAGTTATATGCTGACAGATGTACTATAGGTTGTTTTTTCATTTTATGAATCAGGTCAACAAATTGTTGCCGCCACTGGGAGCTCTTGGCAGATTTGGAACATCGCAGCCGCCTCAGCTTCTGGAACTTTCTCTAATTTTGGCATCTTACCACTTTTAGTAAGCTGCACTATGTAAACCTGATGTTTCAGGTCAGTTTTTGTTCCAAAATTTACTGAAAAAATAAATGCTGAATGTAATTCTGTATTCTTTATGGTTTTCTTTTCCATATTTCAGATAATCAAAGTGATGGATTTCTGAAAGCGTGATCACCTCCAGCCACCCTGAGTGTGATCTAGTTTATGAATGTTCCAGCTGTGCCCTCAGAATCCTTTAGTAGGACAACCAGGATTTGACCTTGAAAAATCCTCTGTGTGCTTGGACAAACAAACTGACTTCTAACACTTTCACATAGTTCAGATGCTGGAAAAGTGTGGGAATAAGTCCCTCCCTCAAGTGACAGACCTCAGGGTATCTCAGGGTCTTGCTCATGAGTCGGGGGAGAGTGACACAAGAGACTGACAGATGAATCGTATTAGTAATGTGGATGATGTAGCATTTCATTGCAGTAAAAAGAAAGCTGAGTTTCAAGGTCAAGCTATCAATTTCCTACCTTTACCTGTAACCTCAAAGTGTTGGTAGTGACCTACAGGATGAGCCTGTAGCCGAAGCGCCCAAAAAGAGTTGCCTCTATAGGCAAGGGCTTGTTAGAACCTCGGGGCATATGTTGTCTTTAGAGCACTCAGACTACTCAAGGCCTCTCTCATTTCAGCCCACAACATCCTTAAAGGCTAACACCTCAACTCCCATAGAGGGAAAAGAAGCAGCATTGTGCTGAGGCGTCTCAACTGCATCACGTCTGAATGTTTGTATAGCATTTAAGGGAGATTTAATCAGTAATAAATTTTATCTTGTGACCTGTAACCATGTTCGGTTTGCTATTTAGCCCTTTGCTTACTTTATCTCAGTCAACATTGTTGTACCAGGGGGTGGCCGAGAAGGCAGAGGCCAGTCTTTAGACTGCAGCTCCCATGGCCTGGATCTGCAAAGCAGTAGAAGGTAGATGGATGACTAAAAAGTTACTCTATAATCATATTTGTATCCATCATTGAATCGGGGGTTTTTTATCCTAAAAACTTGGAAAGTTGTGTGTCTCTGTACTTTAGCCCTTCAGCTGCAAAGCTAATCTCTCTGTCATGTTGCACAACCTAAATTGAGACTTGCTATAAAATGTAGCCTGGTGGGAGCAGATGGTGGAAGACTGACGTTGTAGTGGGATGGTTTAGCAGAAAGGATCCCCACTGCTGTGAGAAAGGAGAATCAGCAGGAAATTGCAATCTCTTCTCTTTGGCTGTTAGCATAAATGCAAGGTATCACCTCCTCTACCAAGCAGTTTGCACCACAGGAGTGGAGAGACGTAATTCAATATGGGCCATACAATTGAACCCTTGGTGAGTGTCTTCAGGAGTGAGTGTGTCTATGTGTGTCATTGCCTTCACGGTCAGCTAAAATGATATGTTGCTCTCCTTTTATCTGAGCGAGCCCAAAAGTCACTGTGCCTCCGCTTTAATGCAACCAAGTGATAGCTGAAGATGAAAATTAAAATAAACTTGGTAATCACCCTAAATAATTCCTGACTGGTGGATTGGATTTAATAACACAGCGGTGCAGTCGGCACTTAAGGCTGTCATGAACTCCAGTCGGAGTGATTAGCCAGAGGAGAGGCAGGGTCCATTTACACTGAGGCTCAGGGCAAGGGCAGAGATTGAGTCATCCATTTGTACAGACCACAAAGCTTGCCCCCCTCCCTCACAAACACACACAGACACACAATACATCCATCCATACTAATTCCATTCTAAGCTCCATTTTCTGTCAGGAACCAAAAAACAGTTCTTGGGTGACAACTGGGAGGATTGTCTCTTAAAGACTCATTTGAATTTAAATCTCTAGAGAAGGGGACATTAATATTGGTCCAGGTGGTCAGTTGTAATCTAATCAACACTGGATTGGATTAAGAAAAACATCTATTGTGATATCTGATGACATTACAGAATCTAGCCTTGGTGTTGATGTGGATTAAAACATCTGAATGTGAACCTTTTAGGAATGTATATTATATATAATATATAATGATATATAAATATTATATTATATATATAAAATTAGGGGTGCAACGATATTCGTATCGTATTGACGTTCGAAGTTCGGCGGTACGCATATGTATGAACAATACAAAATTTGTAATTTATTTTATCAACTTTCCTTCTGACGATGCTGTCTGTGTTGAGCGCTCAGTGAATC